GCAGCTGGGCAGCCCTGCCTAGCTGCCAGCAACCTTGGAGCCAGAGGACGTCAGTGCCAACTGACAGGGCAGCATCCAACTGTTCATCGGACACGTCTCGAAGCTTCGCTACCTGGCCAGAGAGGCAATGTATGGGGGTTCCTAGGATGGGTACTTGGTCAGTTTGAATGGGAAAACCCATGGGAAACCAGTAGTTTAGAGTACCACTGTTTAAGTCAAGGCCCGTGTGGTGTAAGAAGATTGGGATGACATGCAGCTGCTGTCCTACTAGCCGAGTGTTGCTGGTGGGATATGGGCAGACCTGGATGTCATACAACCAAGGCCGTGAATTCAGCAGCAAGATGGTGGGGTGCTCCGGAATGGGACAATGGCTGACGGACTCATGGCTTTCCGACATGAGGATGTTGTCAGAAGTCGGCTGAGTAGAGCCGCTATTACTCAGAGCTTGTTGGGGTTTGAATCCAAATGCACTGCTGTCTTGTTGACAAAATTTGTTGACTACTCTTATCTTGGTCCTCTTGGAAATGATCCGTCAAAGAGTTGCACACCATCCAGCATGAGTTCACTATGACTTCGTCTCCTATCTACCTTATGTGGTGATTCACACTCTCCAGTATTGAAAGTCAGACGCTGAAGCGGCAGCGACCAGCGGGAACGCAAAGTATATGCCAACCATGACCTCACAGGGTTAATCCTGACGATTTCCAACTGGTTTTGCCAACTTTGGGGATGAGGTCCTTTGATTTGATGCTATTCGGCCTTTCGGGGCCTGACGTAGTGAGCTTGCCAACTGTAATTTTCCAATCTTCAGAGAATGCATCTGAGATCATCTGAGTGTTCTGAATCCATTTGAGATCAAAGAACGGCACAGGGGTTGGCGCATTGAACCACCCTTCACAGGTCACACATCTCCGATTTTTCCTGAGCGACTCTCAGCGACATCAGGGGCGCCCTGATGTAAAGCCTCTGCCGATGGCCAAAGTCGATTTCAATTGTGGAATGAGTTGAAAACCCCGCTGGAAAATATTAGTCAGTTGGGATCATGATCCCCAATATATGGAAAAAAAGGTTCCAAACAACCAACATGGTTGAAATATGAAATATACGACCAAACTTACCCAAACTTACCCAAACTTACCTCAATCTGAGCCGTCAACTCCAATAAGATCTCATGAGCACACCATCAGGTGGAACACAGGATCACACGAAACTTCCAGCCCATCAGCAGCGAAGTCACTGAGCCGAGTGCCAGCTATGTCTCAGGAAGCTCAGCCTGGGCGCTGAGCTTCTCGGCCAGACCACGCTCCCGGTCATGAGAAGAAATCTTCACTGATGAGGCCAAAGGTGCTTAGCAAACCTGGAAGGTACACAGAAACAACAATTACATCATCAATTGTCAATTATCATCAACTATCATCCATATAATCAATCATCCTCAATCTGTCAATCATCATCATATACTGGTTGATGGTATACCTACCCCTCTGAAAAATATGAGTTCGTCAGTTGGGGTTATGACATTCCCAACTGAATGGAAAGTCATAAAATTCCATGGTTCCAACAACAGCAACCAGTAATGGATTTATGTTGAGTTATGTTGATTAATAAATATTAATAACCATGGCTAATAGTTATCATCAATTATCATCATAGGCTATGTTGATTAATCAATTATCATCATATACCATCATATATCATCATGTACCCTGACATTCCCTACCATGTCTGCTAGCCTCGCCCTCCAAGGTCAACTCCCTGTGGCCCCGTGCCATCTGCTTTGTCAGCTGCTGGGCCAGTGCCTGTGCGATCTCCACGCAATGGCTTGAGCTGGAACTTTTGAAGAAAATGATGGGAGAACTTCCCAGGTAACCTGTTTTTCTTAATGGTTTAAATGGGTTAAAGGAATTTAGATCAGATTAACATAATGATCATTTAAATTCATTTAAACCATTTATGGCATCTTTATAAAGGGAAACTGATGACAAGCCAATGGACTTTGCAGGCCAATCCAACCTGGCTATTGGAAATTCCCATCTGTAGATGATTTTGCTTTGTCTGAAATCTGAAACTAGGACGCCTCCCAAAATCTCATGGTTTAGCTGGTTAACCATCATTTTCCCCTTCACAATTACTTTACTTCGTGTGATCCCCACCATGACATTTATACATTTTCTTACTGGCAAATCTTCTGGCATTCTATCTGACATATCTTCTGACATTCTATTTGGCATTCTATCTGGCATATCTTCCGGCATATGATCTGGCATATCTTCTGGCATTCTATCTGGCAAATCTTCTGGCATTCTATCTGGCATATCTTCTGGCACTCTATCTGACATATCTTCTGGCATTCTATCTGGCACATCTTGTGGCATATATTCTGACATATCTTCTGGCATTCTATCTGACATATCTTCTGGCATATATTCTGACATATCTTCTGGCATATCTTCTGGCATATCTTCTGGCATATCTTCTGACATATCTATCTGGCATATCTTCTGGCATAATTTTCTGGCATTCTATCCGGCAAATCTTCTGGCATTCTATCTGGCATTCTATCTGGCATATCTTCTGGCATATTATCTGGCATTCTATCTGGCATATCTTCTGGCATATCTTCTGGCATATCTTCTGACATTCTTTCTGACACTCTTTCTAACTTTCTTCTGCACATTCTTTGTCCCATATCTTCCTACATGAGGTCCGGCAGGGAACACTTGGCGTGGATACTCGCGGTTGAGGTCCGGCAGGGAACACTGGGCGTGGATGGTCGTGGTTGAGGTCCCGCAGGGAACACTGGGCGAGGATGGTCGTGGTTGAGGTCCGGCAGGGAACATTGGGCGTGGATGGTCGTGGTTGAGGTCCGGCAGGGAACACTGGGCGTGGATGGTCGTCGTTGAGGTCCGGCAGAGAACACTGTGGATCGCGGGTCGCAGTTGAGCAAGGACGACGAGGACGACGAGGACGACGAGGAGGACGAGGAGGAGGAGGAGAGGAGGAGGAGGAGGAGGAGGAGGAGGCAACTGACATAAAATCTAACAACTCTCACCTGGCAGGTGGGGAAAAAAGTGAGATAGCCACCATTTTCCAACAAAAAACCATTGAAGGACTTGAAAGAAGTTCCAGTTTCCAGCTTTGTCCCACCCACCTTGACACGAGCCAGAATGGCACCACGCTCCTGCGGGATCCCGGATGATCCCGGAGGGACTTTTGGATGACCAGTGATCACCAGTGATCACCAGCCATGACTAGTTGGTTGAGGCTGGTCCCCCTAATATGGGTTATCATCATCCCCCAATAAGACACTTATATATATATATATGTATACAGTATGACCCCCTATAAAGACCAATCAACAATGGCATCTTTAGTGGCATCTTTAGTGGCTCAAATTCACCTGAGAGTTTTGAAACACCCGTGAAGATTCTCCCAATCTTCACATGCAGATCTGCAGTTCAGGCTTTCAACCGCAGATGGATGCTAAATAATCTTAACCTTGGTTGACTCCATAAGGGCGCTTGCCCCCCCTAATAGTGATGCCATTAGGCCATTTGCTATTTGACTGGTAGCCCCTCCCAATTCAGCGGGGCCCGGTCCGGTCCTTCTCCTTGCTGGGCAGGAACCTGCCGAACTTCTGTTCAAACTTGTCCGGATGCCACCTGCGCATGGGGGTAGAAAGATGCCGGGAGAAAATGCTCATGGGAAACCTGGGAAAACTGGGAAGGCGTTGGATGCCACACTGGCCTCAGCAAACCAGCACGAAGTTGCGATCTCACCTCGGTCTAAGGGGCAGGAGAGAAATTAAGACGGTTGGGGCCATGCGATGATCCTCGTTCTCCTTGCACTACTACTGCAAAATGTCTAGAATGGATTGTGCCTATTTGTGCCTATGTTTAGTTATACTTTAGATTTAGATTCCCTAAGAAATCTAAGAACTTGAACCCAATCCGCTTTCTTTTTGGTAGCTTTCAGCATACGACGATTGACATCCAGTGACTCCGCTTCCTGCACTTGGCAACTGAAGTCAAGAGCATCCCGGATGAGCACTCAGGATATTTTTGAACAAAAGGAGGGACAGCCCAGCCTGAAATGGAAGAACACATTCTTTTCAACAAGTTTTGTCTTTGACCAAGTGCTCAACACAATTTCTATTCTTGCAGCGAAGGAAGGATGGTAGAAGACTGAAAAAGTTGCAGAGACAGCTGCCAGTTTGAGGTTGCCTCCAGAGCTTCTAGACACGGTCTGTAGCTGACGCGTGTGACCAGGTCAGCAGCTTTCATAGATTTCAGCAAGAATAAAGCCTGCTGCCAAAGTAAGGCATCACTGAGACAGCTGATAAGAGAGTTGTAGGTGACCGTGTCCGGATCAATCTTTCTGCAGATCATCTCCTCCAACAATTCCATGGCTTTCATCCAGTTGTCGCCACAAGAACTGATGGCTGCATTGAAAGTGACACAGTCAGGGGATAGTTTGTGCCGTGTCATTGTTTCCAGCAGCAGTAAGGCTCGATCGATCCGCACGAATGGAATCATGGCCCCGAAGCTAGTGACATCCGGTTCGATTTGTGCAGAGCACATCTGGCTGAAGATTATCACAGCTTGTTCCCATTCAGAACCCTTCCCCATACAGCTGATTGCGGCATTGTAAGTCACTACTGTGGCTTCCAGTGAAGCGTCATGCATCACACTCAGCAAACGAAGTGCAGCTTGCCATTTGCCAGACTTTTCGCATGAACTGATGGCCGAATTGTAGGATAAAACATTGGCCAAGATCCTTCTCTGCCGCATTTTCTTTAAGATCTGCATGGCGAGTTGCCATTCTCCAGGCTTTGCGGTCGCCGCCAAAGCAGCATTGGAGCTATAGAGGCTGATCTGCGGCATGGCGTCCAACAAACTCCAAGCCTGATGCCATTTCTCTGCTTCCCTGAAACATCCCATGACCGCGTTGTAGGAGAGCTCATCAGGGAAGATCTCTGCCAGGAGCATCTGTTGGAACAAACCAAGGGCGATTTCCCATGCCTGGCGACTTTCGCAGGATCTCATAGTTGCGTTGTAGCTCCTGACGTTTGGCAGAATGGCCATCTTCTCCATGCGCTTCATCAACGCCAATGCGTGGTTCCAACTACCAGCGGTTTCAAGAACACCCAGGCAAGCGTTGTAGCTCACCACATCCGGGAAGACCTTTGCCAGGAACATCTTGTGAAGAAGAGAGATAGCGATTTGCCATTCACCATCCTTCCTGCATGAACTTATAGCTGCATTATATGTGATCACTCGGGGAGCCAGGCCAAACTGTGACATGCTTGCCAGCAAGCTTGTCGCATACATCCATTTACCAGCCTTCTCGCAGGAACTTATTGTGGCATTCACAGTGATGACATCAGGTGAGACTTTTGCAGGCATGCTGTTAAATAAGGCCAGCGCTTGTTCCCATTGAGCAGCTTTTTCACAGGAGCTAATTGTTGAGTTGTAAGTCACAACAGTGGGATGAATCGTTGCATCATGCATGCAGTCGAAGAGTTGAAGGGCATGTTCCCACTGTCCCATCCTTAGCACTGCTTCCCAGCGCTGCGAGGCGCCCCCCCAGATGTTCCCATTGATCTGCCAAGATCAGAAAAAAGATGAAGTAATGTGGCGATATCATATAGTGACCTCCCAAAAAAGTCCGAAGTCTGCCACCGGGATGTTAGTTCGATTATGATTATATATATATACATCATATGTTTCAGGTTTTCAACTTTTCTACTGTATCTATTTTGGGGTTGCAAAAAATATTCGAACCATATGGATTCGTGGATAGATACCCCAAACCCTGTCTCAGTAACAGTTGAAATCCCTTTCAGCTCCAGTGAAGTCAAGCATCTTCTCGCATGCGCTGATGGTTGCATTGTACACGTACACATTCGCTTGGCGCTTCTTCTTGAGGGAATCGAATGTGTTTAGGGCCTCCTGCCATTGCTTGCATCGTCCGTGGGCGGTAATTCCAAGCACATGGGAGGGTAGCCTCAGCTGCCAATCCCTCTAAGGATACCAAAGGACAACCATAACAGGATTCACGTCTGCACCTCAGAAAAACACTTGAACCAAACAAAACATTCTAAACATCACAGCCTCGCAACTCAACGTTGACCCCCTTTTCAACTGCCATCTTGAGCAGAAGGGGCACCAGAATGGGCTTTTCCTTCAGCAACTTCTTCAGGAATTCCTGTAGCAACGCTGGTCGCTTTTGCCACTGAAGCCACTTGGCTTCAAGGTGCGAAGCGGCGCTGTGTGACAACATGGTCCCATGGCTTGGGCCCAAAACCACCGAGCCGAGTCAGTAAAGGGATGGAAAATGACATGGAAATCTTCCAAGGTCTACAGCATCTTACTGAGTGAACCTGTTTTTGTAGGCTTTTTTGGTGTGAATCTATCCCCATGGAGGAACTCCAATAAACATAGTTTCATGTTGTGTTACCCCATTTTTCAGGTTTAAAAAATATAAGAAAGAGAGATCTCTATATCCACATCTATATCTCTATACTCTCTATATATAGAGTTCTTGGGTTTTCCATTGGCCGTGGCGAGCTTTTTACAGTGGATTTGGAAATGGAGACCCCATGAGGCCTCCTAAAACACCTGAATTGCTTTGGTTTCAACTTTAACATACTTTATATACTCATACCCATCTGACAAGTTTTTAAAATGAAGTTGATTCTGTCGTGTATCAATCTGGCTGAATTATAGCAATTCACTGACCTGAAAAACGGATGATTCCTCTTAATTACTCATCATCATTCCAGTGACGTCATTGTCAGATCACTATGATATATTTTAATCCAAATCCATCCTAATCATTCACTAAGATCTTTCATCATGGACTTCTTATTCAGTTCCATCCTACTACAAACTAGGGTCGCCCATGTCCAGACATAAAATAACCCGAAAAATCCTGGATTTCCAAGGTCTGGAAAATAAGACACATCATTTCTCTGTTGGATTTCGATTAAAAAACATAAAATACCCTCTGGTAATTTAACATAGCTATGGAAAATCACAATTTTTAATGGGAAAATCCACTATAAATGGCCATTATCAATAGCAAACTGTTAGTTTACAAGAGGGTAAACAAAACCAGCCGTTAAATTACCAGAGGGTAACCAGCAAAAATCCTCTTTCTGTTTGATTTCCGAGGTCTCCAGGGTCTCCAGCCACCTTTGGATGTCCCTCTGGATCGATGCGCAGTGGATTTTCCACTGGTCCCGAGGGCCAGGGCAACTCCGCCTGCGCGGTGTCGCGTCGCGGTCAGGGGTGATGTGCGGCACAAACAACTGGGGATGGTGAAATGATGAAACAAACCCCCAAAAAATGGGAGTGCCACATTAGGCTGAACTTTCCAATTTTTTGAGGTCCAATGGCTCTCTCTCTCTCTCTCTGCATCGCCCTCTCCAAGAGTTCAGCCTGAGGCTAAAGGTGAGCCGTTGGCCCATTGGATCTGAGACATTTAGCTAATTTTCCATTCATCAAGATTCCACTGGTTTAAACGAGTTCTCAAATCAGGTGTGGTTTCCTACCGAGATCAATCATAGTCACAGAGCCAGTTTTTCAGAAAAATGGAGGCAGGAGGCCTCTCGCAATGTCAGGCTTTCTGCTTCTGCCGTCTTCTCCTCAGGTGCAATCCGATTGCCTGAGAAACCATACTGTACCCTCTGGTAAACAGCCACATAAACGAACTGGAACATCACCATGCTATTCATGGGAAAATCCACTATAAATCACCATTTTCAATAGCTATGTTAGTTTACCAATGGTATCAATCACTATTTCGATTGGGCCATTTTCAATAGCTATGTGAACGTTCACCAGAGGGTATCTCTGCTCAGCCCTTCCAACATCCAGAAGGCCCAGGCCTCCAACAGCTTCCATCTCGCCTTCGCCAGACACGTTGGAAACTTCTGGTTTGATGCTCCCAACATGTCTAATCAAACATAAGTCACTAATATAATCACATCAGATTTCTAGAATTTTTCTAGATATTGAAGGAAGTTTCCAGATAGTAAAAACACGCTGATTTTTGGTGATGTTTTCTAGAATGTTCATAGATATTCTGGTTGGTGGTATACCTACCCCTCTGAAAAATATGAAAGTCAGTTGGGGTTACTATTCCCAATATATGGAAAGTCATAAAAGCCATGTTCCAAACCACCAACCAGATTAGATACCCCAAAGCCCGTCTCTTAAATATGGTGATATTTGGTGATAGTAATTAAATATGGTGATATTTGGTGCTATGATTTAATGACATATTTTCAAGAAATTTTCATAGATCTTTTCCATTATTAACCACTATTAACCACTATTTAATACAGATTATCAACCATTATTAACCACTATTAACCATAGATTTACCCAGGAAAATTCCATGGTTCCAGTCACCACCAACCAGGCCTCATCCCTTGCCCTGGCCGCCACTCGCTGCTGTGCTTCCATCTCTGGATCCACCTTAACACGTCGTCGTGCACCGGGTCACCGGTGGGTTTGGGAGTTCCCTGGGGGAAACATCGAAAAACATGGTGGAAAAACCCGTGGAAAACCTATGGGAAACCCATGAAAACCCATGGTTTCTGTAGGGAAATGATCCACAAATGATGGGATATGGATTTCATATGTTTTTCCACGAATCTATGGCAATGTTTACAGGAGGGTAGGTCTGAAGCGCATCAGAATGTTGGGCACCCAAGTGGGCCCATACGACAATCTTGACATGTCCAGACCAACCTATCGATTGAATCTGGCAAAAAACACATGCCATCTTCAGATTCGACGGCATCTTGGCCTCACCAAATTAGATCAAACTAGACAAAACCATATAGATCAAACTATAGATCAAGTTAGTATCTATCTCCACCAAACGGAAACTCAACATTTCAGGGATATTCAGGGAATGATCCCCACCTATCATGCTGACATCGCTAATCATGGACACTCCATAGCTTCACCAACCAGCGAGGCACTGAAACTGCCGGCCGCGGTGCTGGCGTCTCGGCTCCTGGTCCGGGGTATATTCTTGGGCCGATGGATGGATGGTGGTTCTTCCTTTTTTTTGGGGGGGTTTGTTGATGATGATGAAACATATATTTTCTGTGCCCAAACAATGATGATGGTGATGGTGATGGTGATGGTGGTGATGGTGATGATGATGGTGGTGATGGTGATGGTGATGATGGTGATGATGGTGGTGATGATGATGGTGATGGTGATGATGGTGATGATGGTGATGATGATGATGATGGTGATGGTGGTGATGGTGATGTTGGTGATGGTGATGATGGTGGTGATGGTGGTGATGGTGGTGATGGTGGTGATGGTGATGATGGTGATGATGGTGATGGTGATGTTGATGCTGATGATGATGATGATGATGGAGACTTCTCGTCCCCAAACACCAAGTGATGAACCAACTCAAACATCACGCCAGTTGAGAAAACCCCCAAGATGCTCCTGCATCAGCCGCGGGCGGTGGCTTGCTGTCAGGGATACCTGACGCCGAGCCGAACACTGTATGGGTTTGGCATTGAGAGGAGTTAACCCGGGGTAAAGATAGAAAAAGATGTGGAAAACCCGTAATTTCCCAAGGAAAATGATCTACACATACCTACAAATGGGAGTTAAGAAACCAATTTTCACAGGATTGCCGTAGATATCAATACAATCCAATACATATTTTTGATTGTTCCTGGGCTATGATGTATTATAGAAAGCAGAACATGCACAACATATGGCAAGATCGGTAGTAAAATGCGCCAAGATAATCGACATCCTATGAGGACTCAGTGGTGGGAGAGCAGCAAAGGTAAAACAGAAACTGGAGAACCGAGGGTTCCTGGACGCTTTTGACCGTTTATCCCAATTATGCCACACTAACATAGCCAACCTTAGATACCCTGCCAAAACAATGTCGTTGTTCATTTTTCTTTTTAAAAGCTGGATAGTCCATATCCTCATCTACATAGAAAAGGATTAAGGTACCAAGGGCCTCTATATTTATATCGAAAACAGTTAATGTTGGCAACCACCCAATGCCATAAATCAACCATTTGGGGATGGTTTATACCACCCATAATAATGCTGATTTTGCGGATGGGTTATATGGTTATGGCAGTGGGTTTGCCATGGTTTACCACATTCCCAAAGATGACTAAAGTGCCCATCCACGGTCTCCCATGCAACCGGATAATTTTTAAGACAGAGACCTGTCCCCTTTTGTCGAACCTGTAGGCTTTGCTTCCGCCTTTGGCTTAGGCAATGCCGCCGCAGCTTCCGCCAGAATTCGCGACCTTGGAGAGAAGAAAGGGGCGTCCCGAATGGGACTTAATGAGAATATAACTGCGTGGATGACAGCATGATGGTTTTTTCCAACAGTATGGACTTGGAATTCACCACCGCAATTGCAACTTTGCCAGGGAAAATGGCGATCAACCATTCAAATCATTCAAATTAAGGGCGCCCTGTCCTCAAAGAAACCCACTTGGAAGTTGGGTAGCAGCTCTGCACAACATCAGTGGCTTCTGACTATGGATCTGACATGTGATTAGTCTGGGTTCTAGTCATCACAAGACAGTCTGGTAATTGAACCTAATATGATAAACCTAATAATTATTCGGTTTTACCAACGCATTGATAATTGATGGACATATTGAGGATGGTATATCATTGTGTTCACCAGTGTTCACCCTTTAACTCTTGCAACATCACACCAATACGGAGGCTCCCGAGACATTGAGCCGGAGGGGCATGCTGTTAGCATTGGCAGCTCGAGCCTCTGCCTATCCAAAGTCCCGGAAAATTGGACTTATGGACACAGCCGAATCCCCAGCCATACACGGAACATCTTCAAGCTTTGATCATCTTTGATCAACACTTGGGGATTTTTTAAACATATTCTGAAATCCCCGAACCCAAACATCAATACATATCAAAACCATCAAATTTCCCGATTTATTTTTTCATTTTTTGGGTGCCCAAACCATTTCTTGATGACATGCGGAAGGGAATGACCCACACGGCACCTCTGCCGCAATGTCATCCATCCAGCTGTCCGGCCGACCTGCTGCAAGTCTTGCAGCGCATGCTGGGGCGATCTAAGGGTTTCTAGGTAACAACCTGCTGAAACAATGTTGGTAAAACACTAACAAACCATCCACCATTTCACCATAAATGGGTGGTATAAAATGGTATAAAATAGTATAAACCATTTTTGAATGGGTGGTTCATTAATGTTTTACCCACATTAATCGCAATTTACCCTGTGGTTATGGACTGAAGTAGGACTGCAGTGCTGATGAAGCACCAAGCCATTGGATTGGGAAACCGCAGCACTTGGAGTCCCACCGGTGTCTGTACCTGGGCGCCGGAATCATCCCAGTCACTGAGACCACCAGCGATCATTCCATAAAATCCACGATATATGCCAGCACGGTGGAAGAAAATGGAGGTATCAATGGGACATTTGGTATATATTTGGGATATTTTTGGGATATACCTGGTGCTTTTACATGCTGTTTGTGTGTTTTGGGCTCGTACTCGTACCATGCCCTTTTCTTGCTCCGCCCTTTGAAAAACAACCACCTGAGGGCTCACTTTCCAGGTCTTGGTGCGAGTCGAAGCGGCAGAAGTCATCATCTTCCTATGGGCGCAGGGTTACCCTCTGGTAATTTAACATAGCTATTGAACATGGCCATAGAAATAGTGGATTTTCCCATTAAAAATGGTGATTTCCCATAGTTTTTTGTATGTTTACCAGAGGGTAGCTTAGCTCCGCTCTGACGCATGGAGAAAGCTGAACTGCCATAGCTGTTGAGTTTGATGCCTCACCAATCATCCCGAAGAGCTGCCGTCGCCTAAAATGGAAAAACCCATGGGAAAACCAGCGGGAAAACTGGTTTGGGGTAGCCAGGTTTTAGGAAACCCACCATATTTGTGCTAAATTCTGTCTCCTCATTATCTTCTGTCTTGCATAGATGGGATGATTTGGTCCCGAGTCAAAATTGTGTATGGAACGTTCCGCGGTGTTCCGGACGCATGGAACGAAGGGGCTTCGTAATTGGTCGTATTCCGGACCTTTGGAGTGTAATAAAATATAGGCTATACATAAATAAATATATATATATATATACATTATATGTAACATATATAATATACATCTCAAGGATATGCACGTTGAAGCTACTCCTCATCTGCACGACATCCTTGTTGTACACCTGTTCAACGCAGGTTTGCCTTGCATGGCTAGTGCTCGTGCACTAGATACGACACGACCGGTAGCCAGTGTCACCCACTGGCTACCATGTAAAGCTGTCGACTCAGCTTCAGACCTGTCACGCAGGTCCCACCTCCTACTCTTAAAATTCAGAGGTCCCTATGGGGTAGATTGTGTCCCTGCATAGCAAGACTCTACCCTCCCATAACCCACGCGCAAAGGATGACTTACGAGCAGTCTATGTGAGAACCTGTTCACCAGTGGGTCAGGGGTGGTACATGGGTGGTCCAGGTCTGGAACGGGTATGGAACGGTATGGAACGGGGGTCTGGAACGAAACGGCCCACTCCAGCACAGCACTGCCACCACGCAGCACATCTTTATCAAAATTCGCAGTTTGGAGCGAGAATAGTGCAGCAAGCAATTCTTAGACTGCCAGCTGGCAGCAGCCAAGCGCATCTCTACAATCAACACCACAGCTGTGCCACAGCCTGCAGCAACTTTAAGTGGTGCAGGCACAAACCTGCCACAGGTTGAGAGGGAGGGAGGGTTACAAGCAATCCATTCTTAGACTGCCAGCTCGCAGCAGCCAAGCACATCCCTACCATCACACAACAAAGTAGGTAGCAGCTGTAAGTGCTGCAGGCACAGACTTGCCAACACAATCACAGGGCTTGGGCATAGTAAACGTATTCTTGTATGTATGCACTCATGTATGTACGTGCGCTCATATATGTGCGTACAAATGTAAATTCAGATTACACATAATCAAATATATATATATATGTATAATTGTATTATATATATATATAATTATATATAATTATCTATATATATTAACGTATGGATCAGAGGTATGGAACAGAGGTATGGAACGGATCCTTCAAGGAGGTATGGAACGGGGGTATGGAACGGGGGTATGGAACGGGTGTGGTCCCGGAGCTTGTTCCGGACCTCCTATTTTGACTTCTCCCCATTTAAGATAGTTGAGACCTCTAAGTAGAAGACTTGTGCACAACTTGGTGCCGTTTGGATAACAAATCATCTTCAGCAAATTCAGGATAATCCATCAACCAATTATCATTTGTCAACTATATCCGAATCCCATATGCTGGAGTTCTTAAATGTATTTAAATCCCATAACTGCTGGTTGAACCCCTCTTACATGAATATGAGTCAAAACCCTGACACCCTAGGTACCCTAAAATGGTTATTGGATGGTTATCCCCTAAATATCGTCACGATAGATTATGATTGCATATGATTACTCATTATGGAAATAATCCATCAATATGTTGGATTCCTTAAATCCAGTTAACCATCCATGAAAACCCTATAACTGATGCTGAAAAATCATGTCAACCCCCTCTTAAACACATAATATCAACATAATATTTGGACAATATCATAAGTCTGTTTAACATACAAATATCATGAATTATGTGACTTATTATTCCAAAAAAATGGATATATTTGGATGAATATTCACCCAATAATTCCCATATAAACACATAGATCATCATCCACCCACGACCAGCCAAGGTGCCAATCGGCTTCCTCACGTTTCCGCCGTGCCGCCGCCACGGCTGCCAAGAGTTGGTCCTGGTGATGTGGGTTAGCGAAAAAAAACACGACGCCACATGTATAAACCATAGGAAAACCAATGGTAATGATTTATTTATTAAATATAAACCACCATCGTTTCGGGTAATTTGTTACGAGTTTGCGAACTGGAAGCTGTGGCCATGAAAAGTTTGATGATTTACATTGAGTTCCCTATGCAAAATGGTGTCAATTTACGGAAGGGTAGAACATAGAAAAACCGGACAAATATGCTTTAATATCCTACTGTTTTTTGGATAAAATTAGGTATGTTTACTGTCAAGCGGTGGCTGCCATAGCAACAACACAAAAGAAGAGAAAGGTGCACAGGCTGCTCCCACAAAACCGCAGCCAAATGAACCAGCAAAATAAGCTAAGTGACCAGCAGCTCTGGTTCACAAGAACATCCAATGCTAGACTTGCTAGACTTCTCCAAATGGACCTTGGGCCATAGAGCTTCATCCCAAGCACCTTCTTCAGCAGAATCTTTTTAATACGGCAATTGACTGCTTTTTATTAAGAAACTCTTCAGCAAACTATGGATTTCGCCCCCAACAAATCTCACTTCTCTCAGGGATGTAGCTCCTCCTTGGCGGCTTGGCGGCAAGCCTCATCCCGCTCGGCTTCGCGCAGCAAACCTCGAGTCGCAGCGATGAGTTTGGGCACAACGATCCATCGATTTGGCCCAGGCCATCTGGCAACTCATCTGTCATCATCCATCATCATCATCATCACCATAATAATGCTAAACATCCTCATTAATAATGATTCTTCAATAACTAAGAATAATGATGATACTGATAATTACTAGATATGACTATAGTGATATCTAGTGATAATAGATATCTAAGATGATGTTTTTTCTGATAGATATTCTTCATATTAAGGTATATATCTGATAGATATCTCATAGATATCTGATAGATATCTCATAGATAAGGTGATAATTCTAATGATGCTAATCCTCCTCACCTTGCTGAAATGACTCACCGGGACCCCGGACCATCCAAATCCAAGGATTCAGCTGACTCACCTGGGGTCGCAGTCTTCTCCCACTGGCTACATGAACATCATAAACACCACAAAAAACACATCCGCAAAACGACTTTAGAGTTAGTTAGAGTTAGTTTGCACAATATAAACTGTATATATATATACACATAATATCCATCTACATTATATATAATATAATATATAATCTCTAGACCGCCCCGGACCAATGTCATCAGAACAATGTCTGCCTTGCGAATCGCAGGCACCGGGGTCAGCTAAGGCCTGGTGGAAAATTCACAGGACATTTACCCCAGGTTTTGGCCGATTTTTACCACGAAAACTATGGAAAATCACCATGCTATTAATGGGTAATTCAACTATAAATAGCCATTTTCAATAGCAAACTGTTAGTTTACCAGAGGGTACTTAAAAATAGATATGTCTTTGCGGAGGTGGTGGCCATCGCATTGATATACATTTCTCTGGATACATGTTCACCCATGAATGACCTCACTACAAATTATTATTTATCCTTTGTTTTTATCAATAGATTTTGATTTATCCGATTTATCCTTATAACTTATATAGCATGATATAAAGATGTGTGAGTATGTGTATATATGTAGATGCGCGCATTTATATATCCGGATAAAAAAAATTCAGCAATCTGAAATGTTTGGTTGTTTTGGATTAATTACCCCAATCCAATTCCCATCATTCCGACGTCACGACGTGAGGCCAAGCCGTGAATTGATCGATAGGCAGGAAAAAATCAACATTTTTCAACAGGCGAATCACCCACAGCTGCGAACTTCCACTGTCAAATTAATTAGGTTCCCCTGGAGTCTCCACGTTGAAGCCATATTTTACCCTCAAACTAATTATCCAACATCATCATATAAATGGGATTGCAACTCCAATCAACTAGCGTAAACTTACAATTTTCTTGACACACCGATGCCATCTTTATACCATCTGGTTATTATTTCACATACAAGTAGCCATGGAAAATCACCATTTTTAATAGGTAAACCATCTATAAATGGGCCGTTTTCCATGGCTATGTTAAATAACCAGAGGGTACATTGAACTGCTAACACATCCAATATTTCACGTCACAAATGTGGTGAAACCGGACCTCCACCAGGCGCATAGCAACGCATCCACGGCACAAACGCCTCGGTGCCAAAGAAACAAACGAGCCGCTGTTGGCTGTATGTACTGGATATACACATAACACACACAGATATATATATAATATATACATATAAATATGCATGAAAACTCAGATCTCAACTTGAAACTCAAAAAAAACACACACATCTGGCTATTTAACAATTTGTCATGGTAGCCATAGCCTGTTAGCTCAGTCATTTGCCAATTCTAAATATTCTAAAATGGTCATTTTTCATAGCTATGTTAAATTACTGGAGGCTATGGATAAAACCGACATCTCCAGATCAAGAAAGCTGAGTGCTCGCACGTAGCTACCAGCAAAGGGGACTCCCCTTTGACATTGCGAGCTTCAAGCACAGACCTGACTGCTACGACAACAAGATTCTTATCGATCCCTATCTGGAGAAAGGCTACACTTGTCGTCGTCATCATCATCACCACCACCATCTAATGATACAAAATATATATATTTCTACATATTCACATATCTCTATATCTGTATCTATATATACATATATATATATATAATGTGGGATACAGATTAGTGTGGGGATACAGAAATGTGTCCACAGACTCCAAAATTATTTTGTATCTTTGGAAATGATCGAGGGGTACAGTTTTGTGTCCACAGGATTTTGGTTTAAGTTTTTTTTTCATTTTTTTGTTTTTTAGTGTTTAATTGTTTTTTATTTTTATTTTTAATTAAAATAAAGTATTTTTTATTTTTAATTTAACTATTTTTTATTTCATTTTAAATTATTTTTTATTTTTATTTTTAATTATAATAATTTTTAATTTAATTAGTTTTTATTTTATTTTAAATTATTTTTTATTTTAATTTTTAATTATAATTTTTATTTTATTATTTTAATTTAACATTTTTTAAAATTGTGTCAGGATACACAATTGTGTCATTGTGTCAGGATACACAATTGTGTCTTGGTCTTGTTTCTGTTTGTTCAAACATTTTTCATTTTTTTCATTTTTTAAAGCTTTTTTCTTTTACTTTTTATGTTCCATCATTGAAAATTTCCAGATGCCTTCCACAGGCTCTGTTAGGTTCTGTTATGTTGACACCCTAGACGGGTGGCTGAGGTGGCAAGTCAGAAACGGCATGCCCCTCAGCAGTCCCCCCGCTTGCGCCATCGAGATGGCCAGAGCGGCGGAGAGCATCTATCAAGAAACCAAAAACAAAGGTCAGCCCATCACGGTGTAGCTCCTAAAGCCAAGGGAAAAGCTACCTAGGTTACGGTGAGGAGAAATATCAAACAGATGGACCTCAGTGAATTGAGAGACAGGGGTTTGTGGAAATTGCCATGGTAGCAGAATTGGGAATGGCCCAAGCAAGCGCGGTCAAGTGCGACTTTTCAAGGCGCCAGGTCTTATAGTTCCATTGCCAGCTTAGCAGTGCGTCGACCAACAAAAACGATTTTGTCACGAAGGACAGAAAGATCCAAGGAAGGCTCCATCCAAATAGAAACAGGTCTGGCGACAGGTGATCCACACTGCAAAAAATGTTCAAGATCTAGCGGCATTCCACAATGCGGACACGCATCTGGAGGCGTCTTTCCAAACGCAAATGACCCTGGCCGACCAGATAATCTTGCCAAGTACCAAGCCCTGGTGTAAAGCCACTCACGTTTACTCCATTGGGCATGCGAGAGGGGTGCCAAAACTGCTTTTTCACTTCCCATATCGTGTAACCAAGAAAACAAGTGTGGCAACTGCGTATGTAGCCAGCGGCGGTCAAACTGTAGTAGGCCAGGGAGAACAACAGATCTGACCCACAAACTCACCCTAGACTTAGAGGGAGCAGAAGCTGGTAAATGTTGGCAAAATTCAGAAAAATCAGGCTGAATCTCAAAAAACCGCAGAAGTTCAAAGGAGTCATCAATCCATGTGGCGCCAACAACCTTGCTAGCTCCCTGCAAAATATTAGGGCCAAAACTTGACGGTGGCAAACTAAGGAGACGAGCACGCGCCGATAGAATGCGCAGCGCCACCTTAGAGGAAAGCCGCAGATCAATACCCAAGGCAATCAAAATCCGAGCGTAGCCCCCTGTACCTAGTGAAGCGCCCTCAATGGCCAGCACTGATTTCAAAGACCTATAGTGGGCATGGTTGAGTTGCTTTGCCACCTGAAGCCATCCTGGGGACGCACTAGCAAGCGCTTCACAGCCATGCAATACTGAGCTTTCCACCCGCAACGCCACTTGTTTAATGTGGTGCGGCAACCCGACACCCAGGTCACGCAAAGTCACGCAAAGCAGAGCAGTCTCTCGCACCAATCTTGCGGCGATAGTCTCCAAGAGTGGAATGAAACTTAAATTTCTATCAAAACAAGGGCCAAGGACAGTAATAGAGGAAGCGCCTTCAATTAATGTATTATCCAAAGAAGGTAAGGCGCCAGGATTCAATTGCTGCCCAGAAACCAACATTAAGGCAACTTTTCGGGGCCCAGTTGCAAACCGATGTTTCCAAAGGCGCAGGAATTCTTCCAAGGCACGGCAAGCGCGATGTATCCCCCACATAGTTGACTGAAAAATGAAAATATCATCGACAAACTGGGAAATCAACAGCGTGTTAGTGGCCAACACATCCAGCGTCAGCAGAGCAGTATCAACAGTGACGTTGTTTAGGATAGACCGTGGAAGTTCGCCGTAGTCCGGGCCCAATCTACACAAGGACACCAAGGTGGCTACTAAATCAGGTTGCACATTACCAGAGGAGCGGCTGCCAACTTGTAGCTTGTTGAGGAGGCGCCAGGGCGATCCAATAGCAATGCCAATGATACGTTGCCTGAGTTGGTCTGGGATCCCCCGCGCCATTGCTCCAAAAAGGTGCACAGCCCTTCGCCCACCTTGACCAAGTCCGGCTGCCAGCACCAGTGCGGCAGGCCCCACAAGTGGCCCGTAGCGGGCACGGAAAGTGTCTTGTTGCAAGGATGAATCCAAGCACAGCCACAGGGATCCCTTAATACCTGCCCATCTTGTGTGCAACAAGATTGCTGATTTCCAAGCTAAATCATAACCCTGAAGCAAATCTGCCTTGAGGCAAAAGATAGGAAGTGACAAGTTGCGGCGGGTTTGCAAAGCAATAAGAATGCCTAAAGGGATAAGCACACTGTCATATCGCCCTCCGGATTGCTCACTGCCGACATAGGCTTCCAAAATAGAACGGCACTTCTGCAACCACGCTAGATCAAACAAAGTCTGCAGCTCATCAGTGTAACTAATTGGTCTCAGGTTTTTGAAATCAGTCACAATCTGAGGGCCTCGTTTTCGGATAAAACTGATCTCACGCATCCAAGCGCTTGGCACAACACCCAAAGCCAAAAATAGATTCAAGAGGAGCCAGCAAAGACGACGCCCCAAAGGTTGATCATTATGTATAGCAGCTCTTGGGAACCTGAGGGAAGCTTTATGGATGGAAATATTTTGGATCCAACGCGTCACCTCTTCTAATTCAAAAAACATGTGCGGTTCTTGCGCTGCTTCAGTGTGCGCCTTTGCTCGTTCATCTTGTAATGTTGCATTGACAGCCTCAGTGAAAACCTCATCCCCAAGATGCGCCTGTTGCGGTCGCTCCAAGACATCTTGCGTAAGTAAATGCACAATTGTACTATCTGACGCTCTATCGCCGGAAGAACCATCAACAAGGCAAATTTCTGTTGCGACCTTTGGGTTGATCATCATGCTCAAAATGGCTTGAGCTCTGCCGGGATCCGAAGCGTGGCAATCTAAGAAACGACGCACTACAGTGGAGCAGCCAGCCTTCCCGAGGTTGGATAAAAACTCTTCAAATTCGATGGTGTCACCGTGACACTGGGGCCCATACCACTCAAGGAGAAACTTATCCAACGAAAGCTCTGACATGTTCACCCCGGACGGTGACGGTTTCACTGTGACTGCCAGCCCGCGGAGATGGCCCGCAAGCCAAAGTACCACTGACCTCCACCACACCGCCTTATCCACGACAGCTTGCCTGAGTTTCTGCCATTTACCTATGACCAGAGAATCACGAAGAAAAGTGTCACCAAGCAACAGCTCAACCCAGCGGCAAATGAAACTGAGACAGCACGGGATGGAAACTAGGGCATCGCCCCACTCATCACTATAAGGCTTCCACTTTGCTCTACCAATCTGATGTTTCTGTTGGCAAGAAACTGACCCTACATGAGTGATCAGCAGTGGTCGATGATCAGAGGTTAAAGAACAAAGTTCCTTCGACAGAACCTGAACCCGAGGTTGGAAATCTGGAGAGGAAAAAACCAAATCGATGGCAGTCCCGGAATCATGCGCGGCAACATCAGCTGGGTTCCTGAGGGCCAGGTTAAGGCCTGTACTACTACGTAAAAGCACAGCAATGTCTCGATCGACCGGCCGTTCAAGTTCCGCATTTTTTTCACAGATTTCATGCATGTGGATATTCAAATCACCAGCCAACAATAAAGGAAGGGAAGCAAACTTAGGTAATGAACGGAGACTGCAAAGTTCTGTAACCCGACTTGCAAAGAAATCCAACCGCTCCTTAGGCATATAATTTGAAGGCGGGGCATACATAGCCAGCAAAAGAAACCTGGCCCGTCAGACTCAGAAGTATGAACTTGCACCCACAAGGCCCTTGGATCCCCGACATCAGGGATGACTTCAACATAGTGGAGAATTTCTATGGCAACAAGAATGGCCACAGTGTTGTTTTTTGTGGTACGCTGACCAAAAAATTCGTAGCCAGTCCAACGCGGCCATCGCATACCAGGGCCAAAACAAGGGTCACTGATAACCGCCAGCGAGACCTGTAGAGAATGCAATGTGCTCACAAGCTGCAACATGCGGCCCCCGTGGCTTTCTTGCCGGCTTGATGTGCTTAGAGCACCCCGAATATTCCAAGACACAATTTTCAAGTTGAAAGCAGGCATAGTAGTAGGCACGGTGTTCTTTGGGGGAAGGCGAGAATCTATCCCTCCTTCCCAAGGTCCATAAATTGCATTGAAAGGTAAAGCATGTGCACATGCGGCCGCCTGTTTATCTAGCAATGTCAATGTTTGTTGCAGAACCTTGTCAAAGGTCTTGTAAGTGTTTAAGTCTTTGCTTAATTCAGACAGACCATGTGGCGGGGCATCCTTCCTGAGTGCATGTATATCTCTGCGGAGGGCCAGGGCCTGCCAGGGCGCTGATCCCGGCGCAGCATCTGGTAATGAAGTCCTAGAAAGGGCGAACAATTCATGCCTAGCAGCTTCAAGAAGGTGATCCATCAGGAAACGACAGCGGACAAAAAATCACTTGAGCCAAGTCAAATGGACGTGAAACGGGTTAGCGCCAAATCAGTCTAAAACTGAAATGAAAAAGGAAAGCATAGACA